TTCTAGTGACGCCACCTATTGATGGATGGTTGAATTGGAAAGGTATATCCTTCACCCAAATTCTATTAAAAGTAGATCGCAATCGAACACGTATTGTCGTAGGTGTATGTTTGCTGTATAATTGGTAAGTTTTTGGAAACTTAACGATACTCTATGCGAACAAAGCAAGCGAGAGTTGGTTAAAATGCGATTTTTACTTTAAAAATCACTTACGAACGTAATTTTTTCTGTGCAGTCTTCGATATTCGGCCAATTCGTACGGAACAAGAAGAGTGCGGCGAGCAACTTAGCAGCAATCAATAGGTGACGCCACTTGAATATGATATTTTGAAAAAGTTCGGTTTCCTTACATTCGCTTAGTATTCACACGACACAGTATAAACAGATCAATAGACCTCTGTATTTAAGGTAAACATGTAGGAGATGAGTCCACGGAAAACAATGAGATTTTTTCATAAAATTAAAAAATTATCTTATTTAATAATAATAAAGTAAATTTTTAAAACTTACCAGTCGAATAAAAGGGAGGTGGTGAAAAGTGTGGTATTCTTATTAATATTGTAACCACACTTTTTGGAAATGACGATTTAACAATGTTGTCTGTATTCTAAAATAGAGATATTTAATAATTGAAAAGCGATACTTAAGCAATATCTAATTGATTTAAAAGTAAATTTTATCAGAAAGAAACGCATTCGCAAGTATCAAGCACAATTGCTTATAAAATCTAAGAAAAGGTTATTAAATAATTGCAGGCATTTACAAATCTATACAATTCTGAAAAAAAACTATACAAACTCTCGAAAATATCTATTAATTTATCCATATATATGCGTATGGATTTAACTGAAAACGTATTGAGGCATAGAAAATTTTAATTATTTCAAGAAATATATCGTTTTTTAATTAAAAGCAAAGCTTATCCAGAACAAGTTCAGGAAGCCATACGGCTGAGGATTCTTTAAAGACTTCAAAACACAAAGGTGTGCACGATAATATAGAGACACGCTAGAAGGATGCACAAGTATATTTTTCGAATACATATATATATATATATATATGTATATATATGTACGTGTTTAACACATGTATAGGAGAAAACAGCTGTTTATGAGATTGCGGCTAAAAATTTTCAAGGTATGTTTGTGCGGGCGTTTGCGTGCTTCGATTCAAGTTTGGCGGGTGTCATACCTTGTAGACTAACATTTTTTTTTTTACTGTTTACCTTTGCTGATGGCTATCATTCGAAAAACGATCTTTCAATATCCAATAAGATTGCCCTGGAACTGTCGATAAATTCCTTTAACTTGCGTGTACGCACAAGGAAAGTACACTTTCAGTGAACTCTCTTGGCAATTATAAATTTGACATCAATTTTTTTCTATTCTTAGAGTTTGCTAGATTTCAGCATTAACGCATCAGATAGTCATAATCAATGATGTAGGACAAAGGACGTTGGCCTATATCGCGCTAACTTCGTTTAGATTATCCAAAGTTCATCAATAAATCTGCTAACTAGCCATTTTGCTTAGCACTTTTCAACTGCTAAAACAATGCAGCGTACATTATAACCATCTGCAATTGTGGATTGTAGACACTTATCAAGAACATATATAATTTATCGGGTAAGTAAAATACGTTTTCATATGTTAAGATAAGCAATAATTAAAATTATTGTGGCTTTTAGAGCAAATTTTAAACATATAAATGAGTAAAAGTAATAGAAACTTAATGCACGCATTTTATTGAGAGGCTGGAGAGGTGAGGTTTATTTCAAGTATGTGAAATACAAAAATAAAAAATTTCATGTTGTTTATAACTACTCTGTGCTTTTGTTACAGGTTATTCATCAGAGAGAGGTGAATAGTATCATTTCGCACAACAAAAGCAGAAGCACAATGAATTCTTTAGAAATGAAATTTGAAGCAAATATCGCAATTAAATTTACTGTATACACTTTTCCTATGAAATTACTTCTGCATATAGCATTTTCTTTCATTTCACTTCACTTTAATATTGGAGAAGAAAAACAATCCTTTTTTTTTATTTTTATCACGTGCCTTTTTGTTTATCTCGTATTTCGATAATTAATTTTACTAATTCTATAAATCGCATATATTCAAAAATTATTCTGGTGTTTTCTTCTTTTTGGATTATTTTCTAACAGATAATTTAACACATTCACTCCTTCCTGGCTACAGCAGTTTTGCTTTTGTATTTCTGAATATACACACTTTGCTTACATATTTATTTAAACATTCATTACCGTAACTTTTTTATCTGTAAATTTATTTTACAATAATAATTTGTTTGTTTTGATAGAAACTATATTTCTTTAATAATTAGTTAGTTATTTTTCATTAATAAGTTATTTCTCGCGTGTCCAAAGTTCTTGAGACAATTTCGATCTACGAATGTTAGATGTGCGAAATCAGCAAAACCACTAAATGTTTTTTAGTTAATTTAGTATTGCCAAGATTAGGAATTAAATTCAAGTGGAATTTGAATAATACAAAGGCAATAACGCTTTAGAGTTGCCATATTTATTTAGATTTTTCCATATTATTACATTTTCCCGGTTTGCTTTTTATGGGATAAGCCGCACAAAGATATTAAGCCAAAACACAATTGCTTGTGTACTTATCAGGGGCTAATCCCATACTTTTTAGTTAAGGTTCAATATTGATAAACGGTTTTGTTTGCTTTACGTAAGCCTTACGCATCATTTTTAATGCTATCATTCATGGTAAATGAAGAAGCAGAAAACGCAAACAAATTTATATTTATTTGTGGCACCAAATAAAAATTGGGCACTAATTATAAATAACAATAGGTAGGTTTCATTTTCGAGTTTCTGATGTTTTTGTTATATATATGTATTAAAAGTGAAAGAAATACTCTCTCAAATCTGTGAAATCAGGCTTAAGCAAAATAGCTCAAATTTTCCGTTAGCTTCGGTTGAGAAGATAACTGTAATTTGAAAATGAAATAAATTCTAAACAAAAAAAACAGTTAAACCAAAATAAAAAATTGTAAACTTGTGAGAGGTCAGTAAATTCTTCTTCACCTTTCAAATCCTTTTATTTTACTAGAAAATTTTATATATATGTCAACAAGATAAATTTAAAAAAACATATGGTTACATGTAGCCTTTGGACATATTTCAGGAAAAAATTGATGCGAGCAAGTTCTTATCGTTTTTTTCATATTCTTGTTATGCGTTTTATACAACAAACGATGATCGATATATTCCTAATATTTATTGAAGTGACTAACTGCAGAGGGAACCCATATTTATTTTCGTAAGCCCGCAAAAAATGAAGAACGTGTTATAGATACATGATTTCGCTTACACACGTATAAATATTTTATTCGTAACGTTTGAGACCATATGAAAATTATTGCAGTAAACTTTTGATTCCCATTTGAGGTGAATAAGTGAGGAAATACGAACCGCCATAAGTTTTGCACTTTAAAATTTTGTTGTATTCAAATAAAAAATATATAGAACAATTCCGCTTTAAGATTTTTTGTGAAATTTAAAATTTTATAAAATTTTTGCAAATTATTTATGTTATACAAAACTAGGAGGGTGTGTGAAAATCAATTTATGTTTTCACTTGATTTCGCATCGCGTATGTGATGGCATTCAGGTGTTTTGGACTCAACGCACAACAGTTGTTATATTCGTTTTTCCATATTTGTTCGACTATATGATAGCAAAGTCGCTTACGTTTGGCGTTAGTATTGGTTGTTGTGAGTTACTGTTGACTTTGTAGAGTTGTATTTATAAGAGTAAACAGCCGTAAATTGAGAACAAATAAAATTTTTACTTGCAAGCAGCTGAGGCAAAACAAAATAATTAACAAACAGAAACAAAATTTATTGAGCAAAAAAGGTTGAGTTAGCCGCGAAACAAAAATTGCAATGAAGGGAAGATTTTTTCCTTTAAAATCTTTCTAAAATTTTTTGATTGGATAAATAACCAGCGTTCCTTATTTGGTATTTGCTTCTAATATATATGTCACTTCCGTTTATTAAAAAATGACAAGCATATTAATAAATTTGTCATGTTCTAATGAACAGTTTTTATGTTTGCTTATCGAATATCTCGCTTATAATTCGCTAAACATAAACAACACCAATTTAAGGAAAGGATCTCTTTAAACCGAAACAAGACAGTGCAAAGCATTGGCAACAATCGTACATTTAAAACATTTAACTAGATTACATTCTCATCTTAGTCGTAACCATCATTAGAATTTCATTGCAAATTTTGATATTTGGACACCGGGACATAAGTACACACTTTTTTCTTATAAATAACTGACAATTTCTTGTTTTCCCAATTTATTCGTCTATCAACAATTGGTTTATTTATTTATTTATCTGAGAGACGAACCAAATATTATTTTACGGATTTTGACAGTTACACTTTCTTATATACAAAAATTTTTCTCTTTTTTTAGATTTTTCATTTATATATTAATGATAGCAACAAAAATAACATGAAAGTCTTACGCGATTTCAAGGCGTTTAGCCAAATGTTGTCTCATACGTGTCATACGTGGAAAAAACCAGCTGACAAACGAAAGCGGAAGTTAAGTTATAGATATGCATTCACTGTCCAGCATTGTTTGTTGACTTTCGTTGTTCTTACCTGAATATCGTCCCACACATGAAATAAAATCAGCTGAAAAACAAAAGCTTGAATTTTTTTTTTTTTTTTTTTGGTATGTTGAACAGAGATTGACTAAGCCAACAGATTTGTAGCTTATATGTCCAAATAATAAACTGTTGTAATTTTTAGTCACGATTATGTATAAAACTTGAATTTAAAGCACACGTTATTGCATAAGTAGTGTTTAAAAATATCGTAATGCTGCTTAAAGACGTACTATTTTAACCTAACTTTATATACAACTATGGGAATTTTATATGTTTCTATTTTTTGCCAAGTTGTTTCATTTCTTTTTGTAATGAAGTGCAACTACACAATTCTATTTCATGTGTAACTACTATTCATTCGAATTTTCCTCATAAAATATTTAATTTTACCTTTAAGTGCACTATCCTTTGTACATTATTTTGAACGAAATTAAAAATTCTTATTTGGATAAAAACAATTAGGAAAAATAAGTTGCATTTACAATTGTTATAGTTACAAGAATTTCTTTCAATTTTTTTTTGAAATCAGTTTATACAACTGCAATGTTTGTTATGTCTGATGGTATTTTAATTTAAACACGTGTGACAGTGTCAAACGTCTTCCTGCAAGCAAATTCATATCATTAAAAATCGCATTTAAGATTTCAAATTTATTTATATATTTTTTTTTCAATAATGCATGAAAATACACCACCACGTGCTCCAGAAATTGGTGATGATGAAGAAGAGTTAAATGATTTGGATGATGAAATACCTTCTGGAGACGAGGATGACCAAGAGATGGAACTTACTTCGGATGAATACGTAGAGCGTATTAGCTCTGGAAGTTATGATGACTATGATGAAAATACAGGAGAACAAGATAGTCCCCAATCACCTGTGCCAGATGATTCTATATTAACTTTCCCGGCTCACTCAATGCCAGTATTTTCCTGTTCCCTGCATCCTCACAATGAGTTATGTGCGACAGGTGGTGAGGACGACAAAGTTTTTGTATGGAGTCGTAACACAGGGCAAATATTATATGAATTCACCGAACACAAGGATACGGTGATTGACGTACACTTTAATCGTGATGGCACATATTTGGCTACCGCTGATTTGGCTGGGGATATTGTGTTACATAAATTACAGAAAATGTCTAGCGAACCTGACAAGGATGGCGGGAATTTGGTTTTTCATAAAGTATGGGAATACTCGATGGGTGACATGCCTTGGATGAGCTTTCATCCTGCCACCAACGTGCTAATAGCTGGTAGTGAAGACGGAGAAATATATTTTTGGCGTTTCCCAGCAGGTGATTGCAAAATACTTCCTGGCCCAGGTGCACGATGTGATTCAGGTGATATATCGGCTGATGGTAAGAAATTTGTTGCTTCTTACAACAATGGTACAGTTAGACTATGGGATTTAAGAGAATGTACCACTATAATGGAAATTGACGAAAATAATTCGATGGTGCATTCAGGTGGTTGCACTATGGTCGCTCATGATAAAGCGTCACCGTTTTTTATGTCAGGCGATCTAGCTGGTAATTACAAGAAAGAAACTGGAATTATGAAGATGACGATTATTGTTTTCGGTAAATGTAGGTAAAATTGTATTCAGCACTCACAGTGGTCCCGTAGGTGCGATTGAGACAGCCGATGTAATTGAAGGCATGGCCTTTTCCCCTTCGGCAGATATCCGCATGGCTGCTACTGGCACTTTAAGTGGACAAATCTCCATCTGGGATACTTCTAAATGTAGCTTACGTCTTAATTGTGAACCTGTAGGAAAAAATGATGGTATAACTGAGTAAGTCTTGGAATTAATTTTTCTTAGGTGTTAACTATATTGAGTTTTTTTTTTGTTTTTAGAATGCGATGGATCAGCGACTACACTTTAGTTGTAGCTACTGTAAATGGTAATATATTTGGTTACGATGCGCGCACTGGTGTGCGCATATTTAAATTATCGGGTCACACAGCCGCAATTTATTCGTTTTGTTACGATCACCGCGATTCAATTCTATTAAGTGTGTCAGAAGATCATTCAGCGAAGGTATTTCGGGTGCCGTGTTTGGCTGAATAAATTCTATAAGTAGTTGGTGTTATTATCATAATTATACACTTTTTCCTATTCTATTAGCAGATATATATTATTTCAATTAGAATTGTTATGTAAATGTTTGCAGTGTAAATTATCGGTATTCGTTGCTTCTCAAGGAGTTTACTCAAACTGATTTTTTCTTCAAGCGATTTATGTATATAGCTTTACTATAACTCATATATATAATAACAATTATGATTAAAAACTTACTGTCAGGAGAGAATTGAGTTGTAAAAATATTCAACGTATAAGAGAAATTTCATATGCGAATAGAGCGATTTTCATTTCTGGCTAAGTCCGAAAGCATTTTAGATGCCTTTTCGACCGATACTTGGAGATTAATGATATTAATATTATAGTTTCATTATTGCTAACTATGTTTACAGTGTATATACTCTTGATGTATGTTAATGTATGTCACAATTGCTGCCTTAGGGATTATGGATCAAATTCTTTGAAACAGTTGAGATTCGATAGGAAGCAGATTTTGAATGCTTTCGATTTGTTTTGTAAACTTTAAATCTGCATCACATCTTTAAGTAATCCTTGAATGGATCACTTACCGTTTATTTTATATATATGGCATTACGTTGACAAAAATGTTTAGACAGGCCGATTCGTTTGCAGCGAGTGGCGGTAACAAGGGGGCAATATTGTCCAAGAGCTTGTAGATAAGATCTGTGCCTGTACTATTCTTATAATCATTTTTGGAACATTTAGCTTATCCGAACATTTATTGCTTCATGGCTGAGACCAATTTTGAAGTCCTTGTCTAAAGTTTTAAAGCCTTTGATATTAATCATTGTTTCGTTTTCTTATAGCTTCCCTTGGTTTTTGACTTTAAGGATTATTCTATTGCTATTTTTGGTTAAGCGACGAAGCAAAGGGTATATATTTCTAAAATTTTTCAATAAAAAATTTTTATTCTTTAAAACCGTAAAAATGATTTGAATTATTTAGTTAATGTGGTCGCTGTAAAAATCGTAGTAGTAGTAGTTGTGTGCGATCAATTTTTTTATTTTATTATAATATTCTATTATTCACTACTATATTACACCCTGAATTCATTCAGCTTATTTTTCAAGACTTCAATTCCTCCTAGAAAAATGTTTTAGTCTACGAATATTTTTAAAAGCAAATTGAAGGAAAGTAAAAAATACGAACACCAACTTTTCTAGCCTATGAAGTGCTGCTACGTCTTGAAAGTATTAGATTTCAGGCTTAAAGTATGTGGTGAGCTTATGGTGCGTTCAAATGATCATCATTTTTATAACAATATTTCATTTCTTGCATTGATAATAGAGAATGAAAAAAATGAAAATAAAAATAACAACTACACATGCACATAAACAAGCACACAAACGATATACTTGCATTATATTGCATTTGAATAGATGTATGTATGAATGTTGAAAAGTTTTGTACTGAGTGAGTACTTATTGTATATGTGATATGCCAACCAATAGAGGAACAGAAAATCTTATTGCTTTAAATGTCATTCACTTTCATCACAATGCTGCTGTGATTCAGTCAATTTCACACATACATATATCTTGAGTTTATTCATTAAATATAATATTACAATTTAGTTTTACATGCGTATCGAGATCGTGATCATTACAAAACTAAAATCATAAATTATTACTTTATTTCGTAAATTTTTCATTTTTCACTTTAAAATTTTATAGAATGTTAGTGAATCTTCTTTTAAAATTACATCCGTTTCCGGTTTTAATTGTTCTTCCGTGACGCAATTTACTAACGTTAAAACGATACTTTATGTATTCGGTGCGATTTCGTTTGTGATAAGCAAAAGTCAAAACAAAATATGAAAAACAAAGTAAGAAAAATAATCAATACATTCCGATCGTATCGTAAAAAGTGAAAACGAACGTGCTATCCTCAAGTTTATTCGTTAACGTTATAAGTATGAAATTTTCATAATTTTTCATATTTATATTTACATTTTTCCTTTCTTTTCGCTTTAGTTCAGTTCCATTTAGCTCTGATGTTACATGTGAACTAAACTTTAATCAAAAATCTATCGCATTTATGTAAATTGTTTGAAAAGAAAATTGCGTGGAGTTATATTAAAGAAAAGAATAATTTTTTTTTTTTTTTATACATATTGGTTTTAATTTCAAAATCAACATATATTCTCTATCTAAAGAATATATATATATATATATATATAGCAATTGCTATCTAAGAAGTCACAAGATTGAAAAGATTGTTCAAAGCAAATAAAATTGAATTTCGGGGAAATTCATCAAATCCACTAGATATAGTGGAGTTCATGCTATGTGTGACAATTTCGTTTCAATTTATTTGATGTTTTGAATATTTAATGTAAATCCAATTATTTTAAAGTGATTTATAATAAATCACTAGAGCATAAGATTCTTCAAGCAATTCTAATAAAACGGAGACTTCATAATATGTATTATATATGTACAATCGTGATTAATGATCAAAAATTGATGTTTCCATGTCTCCGTGTATGCGGATCAAAATAAAACAATTTGATCTTCAGTCGGTTTAGAGGTTCGCCTACGCTTCGCAAAAAGCGGTGACTGTTTCTAAATATATACTAATAAATATATTTAATTATATTTTATTTACTTACAAGGGATAGAAAACCCAACATATATATATATACATACATATGGCTACAAAATAATATGACGTAAAGCAAGCACTCGTTCTTTATTTTGGCACCTTGCAGTTCGAGCTTCAACAGTCGTAAGCATGTGAGCTTGTTTGTAGTTAGTGCACAACTGTTTGCTTCTGTGATAGTAAATTTAAAGGCTTATGTAGCAAGTTTCAGATTATAATTTTTTTATTTTCTTCTTGATGTCTAATTAACTACAATGACAAAGGGTAGACCTTCTATGTATAGTAAGAATAATACATTATATATATAAGGCTAAGAAGGGTATGTTTTACATTTTCTTTGCTGGTCCATCTTGAGCGAGTTTCCGTGGCATAATTTTGAAATCATTATCTATGAACCAGGCTTCGAAACATCAGTTCGTTGAGTCTATTTTATTTTTCATAAGATAGGCCGCATGTTAAAGTCTTAAGCGACATAAGCAAATGGATTTCGCCCCTTTATTAAATCTAATAAATCTACTTTTAACCAAAAGAGGATAATAATAATAATACACGTCAATAAAAGCAACAGTATGAAATCAATTTGTTGGTCTTTAATTAAATCACGAACAATAATATACACGTTTTTATATGTTCGCATAAACTTCATGTATGTATTACATGGGACGTGGTTGGAAAAGTGGTTACATCCAAATCATTTCGAATAAGAGTCGTCCTTGGGTCAAAACATCTCGGTCTACCAAATATCATCAAAATGTGCCAAACATTACGGTGCATGGCTTGTACATGTAAATTTACATGGACGGACATCAGACGGACAGACGGATAGACAGGAATAAGTATAATAAAAGATGGGTCTATCTCCGCGTGATAAATACGTTCGCATAAACTTCATGTCAAAACATCTCGGGTCAAAACATTTCGGTCTACCAAATATCATCAAAATGTCTCAAACATTACGATCCGTGGCTAGCACGCAAATTTACATGGACGGTCATTAGACGGACAGACGGATAGACAGGCATCGATATAATAAAAGATGGGATTTTCTTAAGTCAAGTACCACAAGCGGTGTAAGGTAAAATAATTTTGCTTCTTCCAGTAGTGTAATAATGAGCTTCTCCCCACCAGCGCTTTTCAAAAACTAGAAAACATAAAAAGTACGTTAATGAGTTAAGTCAGTTAGTTAAAACCGTTACATTAATATTTTACTTAAATTTTTGCTATTTATGTGCCAGTGGCTGTATAAGTAATAACGAATTTTTAGGAAAAAGAATAGATAAAACGAACACTTTGTTCACTTCGCATATAAGCATATATTACAACATTTTTACATTACCTTTCATATACCTTCGGTTGATTGTTTTCACTTTTTTGAGCAACTCTTAAATGTCCATCATCTTAAGCAAATAGACAAAAATGGCAACTACTTGGTATACGCATGAGAGTGATTTTAAAATTCTGATGCAATTTAGTGTTCAAAATTGAAAGACTGCCTAGCACATTTTGTAATGTGTTGGAGAACCACTCAGTCCGACTCAGTTTTGAATATCTTCAAAGGTCTTCTTCGAATTTCCGCTATATTGGGACATCTAATAAATAAGGGACTCAAGGAGAAATTTGATTAAATTCACTTCGCACTAAGTCTGGTTTGTAGACTTGGGTGTTACAAACGGGATGACTAAGTTGGTTGACTAACTTTTTTAGGCGTTGTGTATAAGAATTATGTCTGCGTAAAGACGTAAGATGCGTAACGGCCAAACAGCAGGTCAAGTGCCGCATGTCGTTGCTTTCAACTTGATTTTTTATTCAATAAAAGAGAAAATTGGTTTTAATTTATTTTCATATCTATCGCCAAAGGACGGACGTATACTAATATTGACGCTTGGTTGTGAAAACGAAAAATAGCCGACGTGAGGGATCCTCTACAATATTTATATTCATACATGACATTCGGAGAATATCACGTAACGTGCTTTTGCGAAAGCGTAAGAATGGAGGGAAAAGGACCGATTGCAGGGATTCGTGTGAATCTACATAAATTTTGTTTAGTTTAATTTTATCTATTATTATTATTATTAGTTGTGTGGGCAATCCCTGCCCTAGCCCTTCAGTTTTAGAATTCTTATGATTCCCGCCATCTTCTTTGGTACAGCGTCCGCTGTTATAAAACGTTCGCCAAATTGGTGTCTAATTCTGCAG